TTTTTTTTTTTTTTTGTGAGCTTGCCTTGATAAGCTTTTGATGTCACAAATCAAACACTCGCCAGGAGGTAGATAATGGGGAGTGTGATCTCCTCTATTTGTACACAGACAGCGTTTTCGCACCGGCGCTGCCTTGAACCTGTGTCAAACTCCGCGGCTTTGCTGGGCCGTGCCCGCAGCCCCGACACGGGGAATCCGCATTCCTGTTATGCAAATACCGAGGTGAGCGCAGACACTCTGATCGCGGAAGGTCTCAAGAAAGAGAAGAGGGGCGGGAAGAGCGGAAGAGCGCAAGGATTTATCTTTTTTATTCCTTTTTTATTTTTTCCTAGCACACGTTGCCGGCACTTGGGGCAGGAGCCGGCCCGAGGGCAGCGGCCGTCCCGCAGCCCACGCCCAGCAGAAATATCGTGGCAGGGGGTGGGAATTCCCAGGGTATCCATCTAATTTGTCTCCCTGTACCCACGAGGCACTCACAGAGGCTTTTTGCGCAGCTCCTGAGGCGACGGAACCAACTCAAATGCGTGGGTGCGGGATAGAGGGGGCCTTAGCCCAGCTTGTTCCCCGCGACATTATAATCTGAGCGCACAAGGGTGGCACCCGAGCTTTTATGCTTTTTACAAAAGTTGCCAAATTAAGGTCGGATTAGGGCTCCATTCAGGATTTGTGGGCCCTTTAGAGGCTGGGAGCTGCCCGTATAGCCCGCTAGTGCTTATGAAAAGCTTAAAAAGTAATAAAAGGGGGAGTGATCCCGAGAGAAAGTAACATGTATAACTCTTATTAAAGGAGCAGCGAGCGGGGCTGTGAACTTGAATAACTGTTTGAACTTTAATTTGTTCATTAACAGGATTTGCCCCTGACTGTGAATGTTATTACTTCTCTTAAAAGCGAGGTGCAAATGAAAAGCCATAGTGAAAGAGCCTGGCAAAAAGTTAAACGCCTCGTAATTACACCAGCCTCATTGAAAACTTAAAGTAACACAAAAGTGAAGAACACGGGAGCCGGGCTGATACTCTACCAGCGCCCCAGCCTTGCAGTACGGTGGCGTTGAGCTCCGGGCCCCAGCTCCCGACCCTGTCAAATCCCGATAGCTCACCAAACCGGAATGCACAACAGTTGTGTTTAAATAAGTTTTAGTGCCCTTAAAACATTAAAAGAAAATTCCATGTTTTCGTCGGTGGGGGAAACCCGGTTTATTGACTGTCCTAAATGAAACACGGTGTCTGAAGTCTGATCTAATCTGCATGTTTGTATCCTAAACAGGGCACATTAGCTCCTCTCTACTCCATCACACCGATCGGAGACTAAACTCTGGAGCACCGGAATAAAACAAACTACTCCTCCTCTCAAAAGGTATCTGACTTTGTACTGGTGCTCTTGCCAGTTAGCTCTGCGCTGACTCTCGTTTCATCTGTCACTTATCCCTTTCCCGGGCTTGTCAACCGCGTTTTTATGGATTCGCTTGTGATCTGCATCCTTCCTCAACAGGAACATGCAGCCAGGTCGCAATTAAATATACAGATACACGAGCTGTAAGCAAGATCCCACCCTCCCATCCGCAGCCGAGCCGAGGAGATGATTGCCCTGTCACTTCTCCTTTAGACTTAAAGCGCCTTAGAAGTGGCCGGCGGAGCGCCGCGTCCGACAG